TAAAAATGTATGTCTCCTCAGAATGCGCTGATCAGAGACGTCCTGATGCCGGGAGAATGGGACGTTTGCGTCACCTCCTACGAAATGTGCATTAAAGAGAAATCAGTATTCAAAAAGTTCAACTGGCGCTACATGGTGATTGACGAGGCGCATCGAATTAAAAACGAAAAATCCAAGCTATCGGAAATTCTCAGGGAATTCAAAACGACCAACCGGCTGTTGTTAACAGGAACGCCTCTACAGAACAACCTGCACGAATTGTGGGCTTTATTGAACTTTCTGCTACCCGATGTTTTTAACTCAGCTGACGATTTTGATGCCTGGTTTAACACCAATCAGTGTCTGGGCGACGATAGTTTAATTGAGCGTCTGCACGCTGTGCTCAAACCCTTTCTGCTCAGGCGATTGAAAGCCGAAGTGGAGAAACGATTGAAGCCGAAAAAAGAGCTGAAAGTCTATGTTGGATTGAGCAAAATGCAACGGGAATGGTACACGAAAGTACTGCTGAAGGACATTGACATCGTAAACGGAGCTGGCAAGGTGGAGAAGATGAGACTACAGAACATTCTTATGCAGCTGAGAAAATGCAGTAATCATCCCTATCTGTTTGACGGGGCCGAACCAGGCCCCCCATACACCACCGATGAGCATTTAGTGTTCAACTGCGGGAAGATGGTAATTTTAGACAAACTTTTACCTAAACTCCAAGAGCAGGGCAGTAGAGTGCTGATATTCTCCCAAATGACTCGAATGTTGGACATTCTTGAAGACTACTGTCATTGGAGAATGTACAACTACTGCAGACTTGATGGACAAACGCCGCATGAAGACCGTCAGCGACAAATTAACGAGTTTAATGAAGACGACAGCAAAAAGTTTGTCTTCATGTTATCGACACGAGCTGGAGGTTTGGGAATCAACTTGGCGACCGCCGATGTGGTAATTATTTATGATTCCGACTGGAACCCTCAAATGGACCTGCAAGCCATGGACAGAGCACATAGAATTGGACAGAAAAAGCAAGTGAAAGTGTTTCGATTCATCACAGAAAACACTGTGGAGGAAAAAATCGTGGAACGCGCAGAAGTCAAACTGCGTTTGGATAAGTTGGTGATCCAGCAAGGTCGACTGGCCGATTCAAAGGCGCAGACTTTAAATAAGGACGAAATGTTGAACATGATTCGACATGGGGCCAATCATGTGTTTGCGTCCAAAGACTCGGAAATCACAGACGAGGACATTGACAGCATTCTGGAGCGGGGAGAAGTAAAAACCCAGGAGTTGGCACAAAAAATGGAAAGTCTTGGCGAATCTTCGCTGAGAAACTTTACTGTGGATACGCCCACACAATCAGTATATAAGTTTGAAGGTGAGGACTATAGGGAGAAACAAAAAAGTATTGGAATAAGCAACTGGATTGAGCCTCCAAAGCGTGAACGCAAAGCTAACTATGCAGTGGACGCTTATTTCAGAGAAGCCCTAAGAGTGTCCGAGCCGAAGGCTCCCAAAGCTCCTCGGCCTCCCAAGCAACCGATGGTTCAAGACTTCCAGTTCTTCCCGCCGCGCTTGTTCGAGCTCCTCGACCAGGAAATTTACTACTACCGACAAACATTGGGCTACAAAGTACCAAAGAACGTTGAACTAGGACCAGACGCCACAAAACAGCAACGCGAAGAACAGCGAAAAATTGATGATGCCGAAGCCTTAACCGAGGAAGAACAACAGGAAAAGGATAGCTTATTGACGCAGGGTTTTACCAACTGGAGCAAACGCGATTTCAATCAGTTTATCAAAGCTAATGAAAAATACGGCCGCGACGATATTGAAAACATCGCAAAAGATGTCGAAGGTAAAACACCCGAAGAAGTCATGGAATATTCCGCCGTATTCTGGGAACGTTGCCACGAATTGCAAGACATAGACAGAATAATGGCTCAAATTGAAAGGGGCGAATCGAAAATCCAGCGTCGCGCTAGCATCAAGAGAGCACTGGACGCAAAAATGGCTCGCTACAGAGCCCCATTCCACCAGTTGCGTCTGGCTTATGGAAACAACAAGGGAAAGAACTACATGGAGGAAGAGGATCGGTTTTTGGTGTGCATGCTGCATAA